ACCTTTAGGAACTCAGATTCTCTTAGATGGTTAAAGGAGGGATTCGAGTGAAAATGTGGAATAGAAAAGGAATGAGGCTGCTGCCATTTGTGATCACCAATGCCTTCCTTTCCCTTTATTCTTATTTCCGAGTATCCATGCATCCTTGTCTCCATTCTACTTCTATATACATACATACAAACACATATATACAATATCAAAATAATAATAAATATAAATAAATAACACTAGTCTTAAACAAAGACTACGAAAGAAATAAATCACATCCATTAATTTCTTATTTTATATTTAGTTTGACAAAATCTTCAAATACCGCTAATTGAACTTGTGATAAAATACTCCATTTTTTATCTATTTTTCTAAAAAGTTTGATGGTATCAGTAAAAATTAATGCTCAAACCTTTTGGAAGGGACAGCGAAGGGATGGTAAATGAAGTGAGGATTAGATTCTTGAATGGATGGATGTAAACAAATCTCATGATCAATGCACCCATCATGTTGATCCTCAAGAGACTGTTTTCTGTGTAATCCAGTGGGTCTGTGAATCTCATCATCTGGATATTGAAAAGTTTATGAAACATGTCCATAAATTAGTACGCATAAGTGAAACAACACAAGAAAACAAACAGAAACAGACAACAAGGTATCAAAGTAAAAGGCTTTTTTTTTCTCTTACAAGCATGTGTGTTCTTTGGTGTTTTGACTAAGTTAAAAAAGGACTAAAAAGTCATTATTTTAAAATGGGTTTATTGTAGATTCATTCAAAACAACAACCACGACTTTAACTGATAAAAAAATGACGAAAGGAATGTCTGGAATTTATCATATTAAATGCCACAATTAGAAGGGAGGCAAGAGGCTGTGTTCTTCATGTGCTTTTGTTAAAAGATCTACCTTTTGGGAAAGAAAATCATAAATAATAGGATCCTAGTCTTCCGTATGCTTTTTGCCTCAACAACAATAACACACGAAGATGACAACTTATCCTCCAAGATTAACCACTAGCCTTTAAATTTACCCCACTGGTAATCTCGGGTTTCTAGAATCATGCATTTGAGACTCATGATCATGCGTTAAGTTCTTACAAACACGAGGTTTTATTAGAGTTCTTAATAGTATTATAAGTGATAGATGAGATGCATATATACCTCGTGTTACAACATCGTTCTTCATGCTTCTATACATCTGCAAGTTCAGTTTTTTTAAACTAATATAAGTGCGTGTCTTCATAAAGGCATCAAAAAGGGGAGAAATGATGAAGATGGTACCTGAAGATGACTTTTAACATGGGAAACAGTGAGACCCTTTACATCCATCGTCTGAAGAACAAGCTTGGGTGTTGCTTCTGCGTACATGAACAACATCATTACAAAACTAACAACGTAGGTCTGCGTGTGTAGATGTATATACATATACATATACATACATACATAGATACATACATATATGTATGCATCATTTTTTATGATCATCAAGAACAGCAGAAAGAACATACTATTCGGACCACCAAGTGTGTGAATGGCATGAACAAAACAACGATGAAGATCAGGAGTCCATCTGAGTCTTGGCACTTTTGATCTTATGTATTGCCTCACTGTTCCATTCCTCTCACAACCCCCCATCTCTCTCTACGTATATTTATGTCTCTTGATCTCTATGGAAAAGAAAATAGATGTTGCTGAATTTGTTGATTTAAGAAGTTTTAACAGATGTGAAGCTCAAGAATCATTCAACAGAGAAAATTATCTTCTCTTTCTCTTTGTCAATGTAGGTGGAGGGAGATGAGTAGTAATAGAATGGTTTGTAATGAACCGGTTTGTTCGGGTGGGTGAAAATATTACCCCCTGCAAACGAAAATCGTGATCACGAGGGACTCTGATACGTGATCTGGTTCTCTTCTCCTCAGGCTTTACAAATTCAACTGTTATTTATATGAATTATCTACAGAAAGATAAGAAAAAGAAAAAGAAAAATGCTGCTGGTTTTGACCCTGTGTATTTTCTCTCTCTAGAATAGTAGGAGTTGAGATACAATACGCCAACTTCGTCATCATAACAAAAGCAAAACCCATTAAATACAATAAATTTGGGGTTAATATGTACCTTGTTTTACTTGATTTAATCTCATAACAAAACATATCACACTTTATAATAAAAACTAGCTAAAAGTTTAATAAAAATTAAGCAACACAATAATCTACTTCAATGGTGTCAAATACTATTAAATAAGTAAATAGAAGTTGGGCTTTAGAAAAAAAAATCTTTGTAATAAAAGATAATTGACTAAAATGAAAAGTGATTTATGATTCTACTAATACTATTAATTATCTAAAAGCTTAATAAAAATTACATAAGACAACTTCAATGATATCAAATATTATTAAATAAGTAAACATAAATTGTGGTTTAGAATAAGAGATAATCACAAAAATACTAAATTAAAAAAAAATCTTAATATTTATGATATAATAACAACGGGGTTGGCTAAATAGACACCCTATTTTACCTTTTAGACACCCTATATAATTTTTAAGATATTTTTATTGGTTAGAATTATATTGTTTTTTGAAAAAAATGATTAAAAATAGTTACCTATTGATTGACTTTTGATAAAGATGTCTATAGAGTGTCTAAAGGATGTCTTAATAGCTGCACCCAATAACAACTTATTCCGTAGTAAATGAATATGATTGTGATATTTGTAAACTAATAAAGGGACAAAAACAAGTTGTTTGCATGATAAAATCTATTTTTGTTGTTTTGTGACCGTAGTTACCAAATCATTTATAGATTCTCTCGAATGCACGCCTTTTAACAAATGATATAGATAACGAGCTGGATATCAAATGAAGTAAAATAAGTTCAATTATTTGTATTTAGAAACATAAGTTACTTGTTTCCTTAATTACAATCTGCAAATAACTATGTTTCGAAAACTAAGGGCATTTGCAAGACCATAAACCTATTTTGCAAAATTGTATATTTCACGTTTTTCCATGTCATGTTTACATAAGTTAAAATGTTAGGGTCTTTTTACATCAAGCGTTTTATATATGCCTTGAATTATAAAACAACACTAAAATCATTTTATTTCCATAATCTGATCAGGATGCACCCAATCAATATTTATTACAACTAACACAATGGACA